GTAGGTGGTGGTCTCCTTGGTGACCATGAACCCGGCATCTCGCGCCATACGGATGCATTCGTCGCGGAGTGCATTGTGGGTGTCTGTCCGGCCATGCCCCGTGCCGCAGCGGAAGAGGTGGTTGGGCAGCCGGGGGTCAAGGATCTCAAACTCGTCTGCGCAGTTGCAGTTGCGTGGGGCTGGGAAAGGGAGGCCGAGGCGGAAGGCGAGGGCAATGGCAAAGTGCGGTGGGCCGAGGCGGAGAGAGGGGAAGATGGGGATGGCATGAATCCAATCCCCTGCTCCGTAGCCTGCCAGGGAGAACAGGCGCTGTGTGTGACCGGAGCTGGGGTTCAGCGCCATCCCGCGGGACGCTGCCACCTGGTCCGCATATCGGGCGGCTTGGACTTCGAGGGATAGCCGGTGCTAGAGTGGGGTTCCAGATGGTTCCTGGCGTTCGGAGCGCAGGAGCTCTAGTGCACGGGTCGGCATGGCTGCCTCGCATCCCGCCAGCCAGGTATGGAGATGGTTGGGGCTGGAGAAGGGGGGGGTGAGGGGGCGCAGTGCGGACGCCAGGGGCCCATCGGCTGCTGCGGGCAGGGCGGCGAGGAGGTGCTGCGCCTGGGTGACGCTGGTCAGGAAGGCTGGGGGGCCTTCAATGGCGGGGTCGGAGAGGCCTAGCCCGCCGAGCGAGGGTGGAAGTGAGGCTTGGGCCCAGGTGCGCGCCCGTTCGGCTTCCCCTCGAGGAAGTTGGAGGTTGCACGCGCGGAGGAGTGTGTGAAAAAGCCCCCGACCCCACTCCGACCACTCGGGTTGTGGGAGGAAATCCAGGGGCGTGGTGCGGATCAGGTAACTGACCCGCCGCGAGATGCAGCGCGTGAGGAGGAGTGACGCTGTTTGGGGGTCCATGGAGGCGATGGTGGGGAGTGGTTCGGCCAGCGAGGCCAGCTGGGAGCGGAGGAAACCAGCTGAGCCCTCCGCTGTCCCGACAAAACTCCCCAGCACCCGTAGCCCCTCGCTGTGGAAAGGGACGTCCGGGGGAATGGCGTCGGGTGGGGGAGGGGTGGGAGACCACGCTCCACATTTCGAGGGGTTGTGCGTAAGGCCGATGGCCCCCACAGCGCCCGTGAAGTGGTGGAAGGCCGCTGTGCAGGCTGCCGAATCTCCCACGAACGTCACGTCGTCCGCGTAGGCTAGACAAAGGACGTCGGGGTGGGCGACAGCTGTTGATTGAGGCGCGGGGTGGATGGCTGCAGCGAAGAGCAGGGGGCCCATGGGGTCCCCTTGTCGGACGCCCCGTGCACTCTGGAGTCGGCTGGCGAACCCGTCATCGAGGTACAGGAGCGAGGGGGAGCCGTATGAAAAATGGATAAACGGTAACAGCGAACGAAGGGGCGAGGCGTCGATGGCGGTGATGATCGCCCCTCGCTCCACGCTGTTAAACGCGTTAGTGAGGTCCACTTGGACGATCACGGAGCCGGGACGGGCGGAGGTGAAAGCCCGAGTGGCGTGGATGATTGCTTCCCCGCCGCTCCGAATTGCGACGCCGAACTGAAGTGGCAGAAAGTATTCTTGTGCAGGCTGAGTTGTCGAGATAAGGGCTGCTTTGGCGGTAAGGCGATGGAGACATTCGCCTATGGCGATGGGGCGTGTTCCGCCATCAGGTTTGCGAAGGGCTAGCAGGCGTGACGCGGTTAACAGCTCGCTGACCTCCTGGGGCAGGTTACCGGCGAGGAGCAGCTGCACAATTTCGTGTAGGAGCTTAGCAACGTGTGGATTGGTGAGCGAGGCGTCGCGCAGGTGTTCAAATGTCATCCCCGAAGGACCGGCGCCCACCCCATTTTCGCTACGCGAAAGTAGGCGAATGAAATGGGCGAAGTCGAGCGCCGGTGGGTTGACGTCGTCCAGGGAGGGCCACGTGAGGTCCTCAGTCAACGGTCTCGGGTGTTTGGACTTCAGCGAGTCAAGAACCTCCGGGGTTGACTCGCTGACTGGGGTTGACGGGAGTGCCAGCAGGGCTCGGCGAAGGCTGCCTCTTCGCACCAGCCCCTCAGCTCGGGAGATTTTCCCGAGGTCGTCACGAACATGGCGAGGGGGTGCAGGCAGTGCGACAGCAGCAGCTGCTGACTGGTAGAGGGCGTCCCACTGGCCTGCGAGGAACTGCTGCAGACGAATCTCCATCGCTGGCCAGTCCGGGCGTATGGGCGATGACATGCGAAGAGTTAGGCGGGGGAGAAATAGTAACAACCGCCAGCCCCCGATTGAAGTTGGATTTTTCGCGAGAAAAAGGAGGGGCGTCAGCAGGGCTAACGCGAACAGCTGGCGAATAGTGGGGGGTAGTCGCCTTGAAAGAGGGGGCTGGCGACTGTCGCACAACACCGCGATATCCCAGCTGGCTAATTGGGCAAATCGTGAGGCATCGCGGGCCAGTTCCTCTGGGGATAATTGCCTGGCTGCCTGGGAGGGAGTGTCCAGCGGGCGGGCAGCTGGTGATCCCAACCGCTCGTAGCCCTTGGATCTGGGAGAGGGGTTTCGATTCTCGCTCCCCACCCGCCTCGGTGCCCTTTCCCCCAGTGCGCCACTGGACTCGTCTGAGGTAGATTCCATGTGCGAATCCTGGATATATGTACCATCTCGTCTTTCTTCTTCGTCAGTTGCCTCCCGCAGTCCCATCTCCCTTAAAGCCCTATTCGCAGCTTGCTGGAAGCCATTCAGCGGGCCGCCGTCACGTTCCAAGTCGCCGGTCCTTACGCGCCCGCTCCCGCGCCCACCACTACCTCTGCCCCTGGTTCCGCTATCCCCGCCTCCGCCGCGTCCCCTCCGCGTGGCGCTGCCCCGTGCGGCGGAGCGTGGAGTAGGCGGACGCTCTCCACGCTGCCTCGCCGTGCCCGCTCTAGGGCGCATCGGCGAAACGGATGGCTGACCGGGCTGATCGTGCTCGAAGAGAGCGTTCCGTCGACCGCGAGAGTTCGGGGGAGAACGCCCTCCCCCGAGGTCGGTCGAGCTCCCCCCCCGTGTCGGACCGGCGGTGGGCACGCGGGCTCCCAGCACCGTCCACGAGCGCGCCCGCGTCTCCCAGTGGGATGCGGGCGGCGACGCCGCCTCGGCTGGAGGGGCGGGCTGTGGTGGCGGGCGTAGAGGTCCGCCAGTGCCCTCCTGCTGAGTTGTCGACACCTGCTGTATCCCGTGCGGCGGGCCCTCGCCCCCCTCCGGTGCTGCCGTCTCGGCCCCATCCGCAACAGCAGCGTGCGCCAAACGGCCCCTCGGGGCGTGGTGGCACGCGTCGGGGGCGGAGGGGGAGCGCACTGGAGAGACGGCTGGCGCGGACTGCCGCAACGCTGGAGGGGATACTCGAGCGGGCTGGCGCTGGGCTGCTCCCATCGCCCCCGCAGCGGGAGCCCCCCCGACAGCTCCCCCATCAAACCCAGCCTCCATTTCCGCCTCGAGTCCTTCCACCGACCCTCCCCGACCAGCCTGCTCATGTTGGAGCGTTTCCCCCTCCGCTGAGGCCTCCGGCGGCTCTGCTCCCAACTGTGCCGCTGCCTCCGTGGCAGCATTTGCCGCCTGGGGGCCCTTATGCTGCCCCGCACTCCGCTGCGCACCCGCCGCCCGTACCCGCGCCGGTCCTCCCACCCCCAGGGTACTACGACCTGCACCCTCGGTCCCTGCCAGCGCCCCAGATAGGCAGCCCCGCGTCATCCGCCGGTACACTCCCGGAGTGGCGTCCCCCCTCGTCTTGGGCTGGGGCGGCGGAGTGGTCCGATCCCCAGGTGGGGCTCTACCGCGGAGGGGGTGTGGTCGGTCCGTTCGTTCCCCCTCGGCGGCGGGCGCCATCCCCACAGGGTGTAGAGGCGGGGGCAGAAGCAGCGGAGACGGGGGGCGCAGAGTCGCCAGGGGAGGGGTCTCCACGTCGTGCTCGTGGGGCCGGGGAGGCGACACGGAGGAGCACGCCGACGGCGGGGCCGCTGACGGCGGCTCTTGCGGAGATAGCGGTCCCAGCCGCCACACTCCGTCGCCTTGGGCACGCTCGGAGGGGGATGGAGATACTGTTGACGATTCTGGCGGCGGCGAGCTCCGCGCTGGGGAGCTCAGGGGGCCAGTCAATGGCCCCGTACTTCCCCCTTCAGGGCTGCATGGAAGCAGCCATAGATCTCGCTGTGGAGGCTGCACGCGCGCGGCCCGGGCCCGCCCGGAGAACAGGCACGGACCCGCACCTTCTCGCCGCTCTCCGCCAGGTGTCGGCGAGCATAGACTCGGCGTCAGCTGCAGGGCTTGTAGCTGGCGCCGTGTCCACGCTGCAGGTCCTGTTGTCGTACCAGGCCGTGTTGCTGGAGGAGGCTGGGCTGGCGGCTGTCGCGGAATAGCGGAGTGGCGGGAGTAGGTGCGGCCGGGCGGTGAGTCCTGCAGTCTAAGCGCCCCCGCACGGCGTATCAGGTGCTCCATGGGTTCTTGTGTATGCCTAGACTAGGCCCTGTAGGCGAATGTATCCTTGTGTTGTTGAGTCTGAAGTAAAGTAGTTGCCAGCCCCTATCGCGCGGCCGAAGGCCGCGCCGCGAGCGACGGCGGCCGAAGGCCGCCGGCGCGAGCCGCCACCAAGGGAAGGAGAAAAAGAAGAGACCAAACTAAAAACAGAGGAATGAGAGGACTGAGAGCTCTAAATACTAAGGGACATAGGCTCTCTCTCTCTCGCTCTCTCTCTCTCCTCTCTCTCCCGCCACCATATATTTCTCTCTCTCTCCATCTCTCTCTCTCTCTCTCTCTCTCTCTCTCTCTCTCTCTCTCTCTCTCTCTCTCTCTCTCTCTCTCTCTCTCTCTCACTCTCACTCTCTCTCCTCTCTCCTCTCTCTCTCGCACGCGCGCACATGTGTCCTCATGCATACTTGGCCCACATCTTCCCTTGACCTCCTTCGTACCACTCTTCCTTTTCTAGTCCACGTGTCTGGCCTCCGTGCGCAGTCCATGTGCTTCTCTCCTCCAGCTTCGCGTCACCTAGCTCACCTGTTTTCCTCCCCCCCATCCAG